ATAAACTGTACTGGCTCCCTGTACAGAGATAGAGTATGGAAGAGAGAACTTTCTAGATAAAACCCAGCTTAAAGAAGTTTCTCCTCCCAACATGGTTTCTTCCTAAGCCACATAAGAGCTGAATGATTCTAAACAAAGTCGGTGTAGATAACTGAATAAATTGCTTTGGGGTAGAGATCTGGGGTCACTGGGGACTTTTGATAAGCTGTAGAAGAAGGCTGGGGTGTGGGAAGGACTAGGCTAAGACGGGGGTCCCCAGGTCACAACCGGTACTGGTCCGTGGCCTGTTAAGAACTGGAATGCACAGCAGGAGGTGAGCAGCCGGTAGGTGAGCATGACCACCTGACCTCTGTCTCCTGTTAGCTCAGCAGTGGCATTAGATTCACCTAGGAGCATGAATCCTATTGTGAACTGTGCATGCAAGGGATCTAGGTTGTGCACTCCTTGAAAAGCTATCTAATGCCTGATGATCTAAGGTGGAACAGTTTCATCCTGAAACCATCATCCTCCCTGACCCCCCACCCCCATCCTTGGAAAAGTTGCCTTCCATGAAACTGATCCCTGGTGCCAAAAAGGTTGGGGCCCGCTGCACTAAGACACTGCTGGGCAATCCGACGATGGTACCTTTTTCTCCAGACAGATACCACTTTCATTCTTTTGACTCTCCTCTACTGCAAGACTCCAACAGCAACTGTCCTTAATCTGAAGTCCAGTCAGGAAAATTAGCCTAGAGCAAACAGGTTCAGGCTGTGGTCCAGAGAACATTTGGATAATAAGGTAGAAAATGTAAAATGTATCTCTGAAACTGGAAAATATTGGGGGTAGGAACTTTGTGCTAGGAGTCTGGAGACTTTGCTTCCTGACTCAGCTCTGTCCCTGGTTTTGCTAGATAACCTTTCTTCCTTTTTTTTTTAAAATTTCAACTTTAATTTTAGATCAAGGGGTACATGTACAGTTTTGTTACATGGGTATCTTGCATGATGCTGAGGTTTGGGGTATGAATGATCCTGTCACCTAGGTAACGAGCATGGTACCCAGTAGCTTTTCAACTACCTTTTAAGGCTTGCTCCTTGTATTAGGTGGTTATTGTGTTGCTATAAAGAAATACCCGAGGCTAGGTAATTTATAAAGAAAAGAGGTTTAATTGGCTCATGGCTCTGCAGGCTGTACAGGAAGCGTGCTGGCATCTGCTTCTGCGGAAGGCTCAGGAAGCTCACAATCATGGTGGAAGGCAAAGGGGGACCTGGTATATCACACGATGAGAGCAGAGGCAAGAGTGAGGAGGAGGGTGCCACACACTTTTAAACAACCAGATCTTGAATGAACTCAGAGTGAGAACTCACTCATTATTTTGGGGACAGCGTGAAACTATTATGAGTGATCTGCCCCTATGACCCAATTACCTCCCACTAGGCCCTATCTCCAACTCTAACACTGAGGATTACATTCCAGCATGAGATTTGGATCCTACCAACATCCAAATCATATCACCCCTTTTCCCTCCCTCCATCCTCTAGTAGTCCCCAGTATCTATTGTTCCCATCTTCATGTCCATATGTGCCCAGTGTTTAGCTCCCACTTATAAGTGAGGACATGTGACATTTGGTTTTCTGTTTCTGCATTAATTCACATAGAATAATGGCCTCTCACTGCTTTCATGTTGCCTCAAAGGACATGATTTTGTTCTTTTTTATGACCGTGTAGTATTCCATGGCGTATATATACCACACATTCTTTATTGAGTCCACCATTGATGGGCACCTAACTTGATTTTTTGTCTTTGCTATTTTGAGTAGTGCTGTGATGAACATGCAAGTGTGTGTACCTTTTTAGTAGAATGGTTTATTTTCTTTTGAGCATATACGTAGTAATGGGATTGCTGGATCAAAAGGTGGTTCTATTTTTAGTTCTTTGAGAAATCTCCAGACTGCCTTCCATAGTAGCTGAACTAATTTACATTCACCAGCAGTGTATAAGCATTCCCTTTCCTCCACAGCCTTGGCAACATCTGTTATTTTTTGACTTTTTAGTAACAGTCATTTTGACTGGTGTGAGATGAGATGGTATCTCATTGTGGTTTTGATTTGCATTTCTCTGGTGAGTAGTGATGACGAGCATTTTTTCATATTTGTTGGCTGTTTGTATGTCTTCTTTTGAGAAACGTCTGTTCATGTCCATTGCCCACTTTTCAAAATGGGTTTATATGTTTTTTGCTTGTTGAGTTAAATTCCTTATAGATTCTGCATATTAGACCTTTGTCAGATGCAGTTTATGAATGTTTTCTCCTATTCCGTACACTGTTTACTCTGTTGATAGTTTCTTTTGCTATACAGAAGCTCTTTAGTTTTATTAGGTCCTACTTGTCATTTTTGCTTTTGCTGCAATTGCTTTTGAGGACTTAGTTGTAACTTCTTTGCCAAGGTCAATGTCTAGAAGGGTATTTCCTAGGTTTTTTCCCTGGGATTTTAATAGTTTTAGGTCTTACATTTAATTGTTTACTCCATCTTGAGTTTATTTTATTTTATTTTATTTTTTGAGACAGAGTCTCACTCTGTCACCCAGGCTGGAGTACAGTGGTACAATCTCGGCTCACTGTAACCTTTGGGTTCAAATGATCCTTCTGCCTCAGGCTCCCAAGTAGCTGAGACTACAGGCACATGCCATCACACCTGACTAATTTTAGTATTTTTAGTAAAGATGGGGTTTTGCCAGGTTGGCCAGGCTGGTCTCAAACTCTTGACCTCAGGTGATCTGCCTGCCTTGGCCTCCCAAAGTGTCGGGATTACAGGCATGAGCCACTGCACCTGGCTGAGTTAATTTTTATATATGGTGATAGGGTCCAGTTTCATTCTTCTGCATATGGATAGCCAGTTATCCCAATATCATTTATTGAATAGGAAGTCCTTTCCCTATTGCTTATTTTTGTTGACTTTGTTGAAAATCAGTTGGTTGTAGGTGAACAGCTTTATTTCTGGGTTCTCTTTTCTGTTCCATTGGTCTATGTGTCTGTTTTTATACCAATACCATACTGATTTGGTTACTATAGCCTTGTAGTATAGTTTGAAGTCAGTTAATGTGGTGCCTCCAGCTTTGTTCTTTTTGCTTAAGATGAGCTTTCTTTTCTAAATGGCGTCTTCTGAGTATTCTCTATTCTGTCTACTTCCTGTGAATCGTGAGTGGTGAATAAAGTATGAAGGTGTAGTAGTATGGTTTTGACACATACATTATAATGATATCGGTTAGCATGGCAAAAGTGGGTTGCAGGGAAATTTTGTGGGTTTTGATATTGGCTCTTAATAGTTGTATTTTGAAACTTGAATACCCACAACCCTTACATATTTCCTTTTTGGATCTTTTTTCTTTCTGTCTGGTGTATTAGATGTGGCATTTCCCCACCTTCCTGTAAGGCGAATATGTAAACGTGGGTATGTGCAAAGGAGTCATCTCTTTCTTATGTCCCTTTTATGAATCACCCAGTTGTCTTCCTGGTGGATGTCTGAACTCTGGCATGGATTCCGAGATTCAATTTCCTTATTTGTGATGTTCAGTTTTTTGTGGTCCCTGTGATTGACCTCAAGAGGAAATATCTGGAGCAGGGCCACAAGGCTGATTAGAGGAGGAAGGGACATAGAGGGAACAAGATAGGAGGGGTATTGTTGTGAAAGGAAGAAGTGAAGATACAGCCCTGTGGGGTGTAAATGAAATTATCCAGGCCTCTTCTCACTTGAGAAAGAGTGAGTTTGAGTAATGGCCTCGTCTAAGAGAACACTGAGGTGCCAGGGGAGGTAATCTTTGAGAATAACCCTGTAGCCAGTTTGAGTTCAGGAGGCTATATAAAGTATTAGTTGCTTTTACTTTCTGTCACCCCAGTGTTTCTCTCTTCCTTCTGTGGTTTTAGAGCTTTGTAGTAGTGAAGACATTTATCAGGTTAAAATGATAAGAATGATAGATTTACTAAGCGTCTCTTCATACTTTCACCTACATCATGTTATCCTCCTTGAAGCCCCCTACAAAACATTAGAGCCTAGTGTTTCTTCTTAAACAATCATACAGATTACTCTGAGAAGAAAAACAGACCATTTAAAACATTTTTAGAATCCTGTGATTTTGGAGCTGAAAGGGACTCTAAAGACTGTCTGGTCTTGACCCTATATTGTGAATGAGTAGCTGAGCATGAGGTCCAGAGTGTGGAGAACACTACTCAGGAAAGTCACTCACCCAGTGAGAGCTGGTGCAGATTCGGAAAAGCCCAGGAGTGTCTTGAGGGGTCCCAGAAGAGAGATGCTCATAGCTGATTTTTCTGAGGCATTAGGGTAGCTTCTGCACCACTTTTTGTGGCTAATTGCCCCAGTTACCTCTAAGCCTCTGTGGCTAGGATATACAGACTGGCCTCCTGCCTTCCACAAGATTATGTTTTAGTTTGGGAAAGAAGATTTATAAATAATGAATTAGCTAGGTGTGAGATGACAATACAGGACAGTATAGTTTGTAGCTATTTTGGTGGTGATTGGCTGTCATTGGTGTGATTCGGGAAGTTATGAAGACATGGGATTTTGACTAGCCTCCCAGAAAGACTAAAGGACTGGGATTGGAGAAGCCTTTCCAGGCAGGGAGAGTTAAATTAGTCTAAATAGAAGCTTAGCAGCTGGAGATTACAGGATGTGAAAGATCTTTGGCTGGATATGGGGGTTCAGTGGGAGACTTACTAGTTGGAGCCACAGCTTAAGTTAAATTCCAATATGACAGATTTTAGGAAGATATTTTAGGATTGTGCTAAGATATTTTAGTATTCATTGTGATAGCTTTACTGCAGTAGTCTTTGGCCTCTTGGAGTAAAATAGGGTTTGTTTCCGTTTCACCTATTTGTACTACCTCTCTTTTTCGACTAATTTTCCAATTTCTCTCTGTATTCTTTTAATTTCTCTCTGTGTTCTTCTCACTTCTGTCAGGTGCTTTTTCCTTAACTTCTCCCCATCTATCAGACACTCAGAGCTACTATAGAATTTGGGAGGAGGATTTGGAACATAAACTGTGACCTACAAGTGAATTTCCCCAGGTGGATGATAAACTCCACTGCAGGCCACAGAGGGGCCTCCTCATTCCAGCAATCTGGCCAGGCTGACAGACTCATAGCCTATGGGGGCAGGGGAGGGTGTAGGGGCCAGTATTTCTCGGGCTAGTGACGAACTGCCTGATTCTTTGCAGCCTAGACAGAGGAGGCAGGAGCCCCAGGGGCGGGCTAATCGCCTGGGCTGGGGATGCCTGGGCAGATGCAGAGGCAGCTGGAAAGGTGGCAGTGCACCTGGGTCGCTGGAGCTGCTGCCGTTCCTAGGAGACCAAGGAGCAGCAAGCCTGCGGGGGAGGGGGAGCAAGTGGGTTGCTGCTTTTAGCAGCTGAAAGGGCTGCAGGGAGCTCTGGGTAAGACATTTTCTGCTGCTGCTGCTTTTGCGGTAGAAGCTGCTGCGAGTAAGTCAGAGGAAGGAGGATTGAGAAGGGAGGAGGCTTCACTTGCAGCCATGCTGAATCACTGTTGCTGATCAGATCTCCCACTGGTCTGCTGGGAGAATCAAGAACAGAACTAGGATCCCCGGGTGCATGCACACAGTTCAGCGGCTACCACCCTGACTGGGCCTCACACAATGGAGGGTGAAAGGTATGTATGTATAAGTATGTGCTGTGTTGTGTGTGTATATAAGTAAATGTGTGCTTGCGGTACAGCCACCAGCTTTTGTGCTTGCATTGGCTAGGCAGGGTTGGAAAACCTGGCCACTGATGGATCTCAAAGGGCGGCAGAGCAAGAGCAGGAAAGCCGCTTTCCAAACCACCCATTCCAGGGCTTGAATCTCCAGAGATCTGGCTTCCGCAAAGGCAGGTCTGGGTTTGCTAGGCAGCGGAGCACCCTGAAAGAAGGGACTTCCTGGCTGGTGTTCGGGAATAGTTTCAGCACAGGCTGAATTAGATTGCCTTTCTCAGGCTGTTTCAAGGAGGCGTTTCCCTTTCCTGGCTACTTTCCCGGGGTGTTTTTTCTTTGGTGGGGGGTTTTTGATGTCATAGTGGGGCCGGCCTGACATAGTGTACTTGCATTTTCACGCAGGAGTGCTCGAATCTTCAGCAGGCATGCCATGCTGATGGCTGTGTGTGTGTGTGCGCGCAGGCACGCCGTGTATGCCTGTATACACACACATTCAGGGATGAAGGAGAGAAATCCAGTCAGATGACACTTGCTCTGAACTGAGTTTCATATTTGTATTGAAAAGTTTATGAGTTATACTGGAAGGTCTGTGCTTCCTCCATCAGGGATTTCTTTTGAAATACGAACCAGCAGAAAAGATTTCAAGTACTTTTGTTGAGCTGGATCTAACTAGCGAGGCAGTTAGATCCTGGCAGGCACACCCATCTAAATTTTTAAATTGTTATCTGAAGATCTGAATCTTTCATTGTGAAAGTACTCAGTGCAGTGCAGAGGTGACATTCCTCTGTCTATGAAGTAAAATATCTCTTGAGTGCCAACCTCTTCATTCTTTGGTCTGCAGTTGGTAGAGTACAGGGCTTGCCATTTTATCCGAGGAGAGAGCACTGCAGGGAGGGGTCCGGCCATGGCAGTGCACCACTGAGGGGAAGGCTGCTGCTCCAGGTTGCCAGTTTGATGCAGACAGTAACTATCTGGTTAACAATAATAGGCTCAACTAAGTCAACACTAGAGAATCTCTCAGTGAACACTTTCCTTTTCATGAGTTGTTGTGACTTCTGCGTCTCACGGGGCTCAGTGATGCCATTGAACATCTCTAGACCCTATTAGAACTGGCATGATGGTTGAGTGTCATCTCATTCTTTTGTCCGTAGAGGCCCTGGGAATTGTGTTCTTGATGACTCCCACAGGAAGAGCCTGGGACTGACTGTGCTGCTGGTGCATCGTCTTTCTGGGTGCTCTTTGTAACAGGAGTTTAGTGTTGAACTGCATGTGGCCTGCTGGGCAGCAGAACATGTGAAGGCTTGTTTCCTAGGTGTGGGGCAGAGGTGAGCAGTGTCTTTGGTCCCCCAAACAGTGTTCCATTGATCTGGTAGGTGGCAGAGAATGGGGCTGATGTGATGAAGGTTTAGAGATTCTGGGCCATGCCTATTTGCTTGATCTGTGGTGTAACTGGGGTTGAGAGATCAGTGTGAGACTACTAGCAGCGGATCAAATGGTTTGGGGCACTGTGTTCCCAGTTCTGTGTTCAGAAATGTAATGAGTCCCTGCCCCTGTCCTGGGGCCTCTCAGCTGGGATGGCTGATGTCTATGGCTTTAGAACACCAGGTTGCACATGTTCTTGTACTTTTCCTCTGCTGAAGGCAGATGGTAGACAAGAAATCCAAACCGAGCAGCTTCCAATGTTCACCAGGTCACCCAGGTCATACCTTTTGTTCCTGCCTCAAGCCCAGCTTACCATGCCAGGCATTCAAGTCTTCTGAACTCCAACTCCTGTTCCCATTCCCACTGCTCACTCATAAACCTACTAACAATTCTATTGATCTCTTTCATGATCACCCATCCTATACATTACTTCATCTAGCCTCATATCCTTAGCTCCCAGAGTTTCTTTTGCTGGATGTCTTTCCCTTCTAATTTTGCAAAAGTTATCTATCAAGGTTATTCTAAAATTCTACTTTATCTTGGAAACTCAGCTTTTCTAGTCCTGGCTGATGTTCTTCTGAATTCTAATCCCTCTAGTTTGCATCTCATAGTTGGACACTGAATAATAGGCCCATCAGATCTTTTAGTGCTTTTATTTCATATATCTTAGCAGTCCCCAAACTTGGAGACAGGTCCTCAAGGGCAAGGCTAGTACCTTGTACTTCTAAATACGCCCATTGACTACTGTGTGGGTACACAAATAGCAGGTGCTGAATAGTTATTAGCTGATTAACTAATAACCTTTGTGTGAGGCTCTGATAACTAAAAAGAAAGTTGGTGAGAGAAGAGACTGAAGCCTTTGGCCAATAGGTTCATCTTTGGATATCAGCCTTATTATCTTAGCACGGGTAACTGACTCCATGGAATGCTTTGAGGTAGGGGGGAGAACAGAGGGAAGTAGCCTTGTTTTGCAAGTTCCCTGGGAAATTGAGGTCCGGAGAAGCTGAGTGACTTGCCTAGGATCACATGTCCAACCTCCAGAGACTGGAGGGATCCTGAATCTGGTGCTTGTTCCACACTTAACCTGCTGAATCTTAATTGGGGCTGTTTTTAAGCATTACAAAATTTCAACCAAGAGATTGCTAATGAACAATTTTTTTTCTTTGCCACGAGGGTATGAAAATACTTTGTACCTTGAAAGGCTATTAATTAAAAGCATGGGCTTTGGAGTAACTTAGACCTAGTGGTGAATCTACTTTACAGTGTGACCTTGAGTGTGTCACACTCTTTTCAGAACTAATTTTTCTCTTTTGTGTAAAGGAAATAATAACAGTACTTATACTTCATAGAGCTGTTGTGAAGATTAAATGATACAATATGTGTAAGGTACCTAGTAAAGTTTTTTAGGCACTGAGTGAGTACTCAGGAGATGGTAGTTGCTATTATCATTGGTATCCACCTATTGCTATGTTGTAGCCTATACCTCGCTGCTGGGTTACTAACCAAGGCATATTTTAGGACCTCTCTCTGTTTATCATCCAAAGCAGATTAAGTAGAACCATTTCCATGAGGAAATGAGGGAGCTTATCAGGCCATCATCTTGCTTCTTACCTAAAACTATCTCCGTATAGTAAGTTCCCCCATAGGGCTTGGCATTTCTTCTTTTAGGTTTCATCAAGATCTACCTTAATCTTTCTTTTTATAGACAACCTGTGGCATCTAGTTGCCTCAGTGATTTGGAACCATGGGCTGGATACATGTTTGTTCAGGCCAAAATCTCAAGAAGAACTTGTGAATTTGCACTAACCTTTGCTGTATCTTTCTAGATTTCCAGGTCTCTCCTGGAACTTATGATACTAAGTCTTCCCCAGTTCCCTCTGTGGGAGAATCACTGTGGCTTGACCAGTCAGACGAAGGTGATTTTGTCTTCTCTTTTGCAAAGGGAAAGGGTCTCTGGCTGTTAGCTATTACAATGATAAATTGTGTCCATGTGAGTGGGTATGTAGAGAAGATAGGTATCACAAATGGCAGTTGTCCTTGCAATTGGGATTTTATTTCAGTTCTGGAAATCAGCCTTGTGGATAGCTTAAAATAAAATTTCAAAATAAATGGTTAGTCAGATTCATAGAGACAGAAAGTAAAATGGTTGCCAGGGGCTGGAGGGAGGGAGGAGTGGGGAAGTTATTGTTTAATGGATAGAGAGTTTCAGTTTGGGAAGATGAAAGAATCCTGGAGATGGATGGTGGTGATGGTTGTACAACAGTACGACTGTACTTAAAAATGGTTAAAATTATAAATTTTATATTACATCTATTTTACCACAATAAAAAAAACATTCAGGCCCAGACTGTGGCAGATCTGCAAGAGTTACAGAGCAGCACAACTTTGGAAGAAGCATCATAAAAAGGGGAAGTTAATTGTCTATTTTTCTTAAAATCATGATTATTTTCTTCATCAGAAGCACAGCGATGCCCCTGCTTGAGACGGGCATCACGTACCGGGCACTGTGCTGTGATTTTGTGTGAGGTGTCCTCAGAGGATAGTTCTTACTGACTGGTTTTTACGAAGGAGAGCCTGTTCCTGGACCTCAGGGAACTTCTGATCCAAAGGAGCTCATCTATTTACCTTTGATCCAGGAACGACAGATAGAGAATATTTTCTGAGGAGACAAGACTTTGAAAGCCAGTATACTTTAAATGTTGAGTTTTCTAATGTCAGGTTAAATGCTGGCAAGACCCAGGGAAGAGCAAGTGTTGAGCAACCTCGCCTTTTTTCTGTTCCCAGTGGCAAGTCACTTAGTCCTCCCCGAACCTTAGAAGTCAGGGATAGAAAATTCTGTAAAAAGTTTTGGGCATCACTGCTGCCTGAAGCAGATGTGCATGCATTTCAACCATGATAATTGAAACCAAATTTTTCCATTTTGGAAATACTTTTTGGCAAAGTAAAGTTTTCAACTGCAAAAACAAAGTCAGGGAAAGAAACCTCTTGATTTCCCTGCACCCAGATTTGGATTTTTAGGATTTTGCTTGCTAAGTTTTGAATTGGTAAGACAGATCTGGACAAGATAATTTTTGTGTGAGTTTTCCTAAAAAGTGCTTTATTTGATGAAATTTGCCATCATCAAACTAACCTTTTTTTTTTTTTCATTTTCTGGATGAATGTTCAAACTAGGTTAAACGGAATAGAGCACTAATAAACCATGTAAAAAATAGATTGAACATGTGCTGGTAGGTTTTTTCGTTTTTTTGTTTTTTTCTGAGACAGAGTTTTGCTCTCTCGCCCAGACTGGAGTGCAGTGGTGCCATCTCGGCTCACTGCAAGCTCCGCCTCCCGGGTTCACGCCATTCTCCTGCCTCAGCCTCCAGAGTAGCTGGGACTACAGGCGCCCGCCACCACGCCCAGCTAATTTTTTGTATTTTTAGTAGAGGCGAGGTTTCACCATGTTAGCCAGGATGGTCTTGATCTCCTGACCTCGTGATCTACCCGTCTTGGCCTCCCAAAGTGCTGGGATTACAGGTGTGAGCCACTGCGCCCAACCC